AAAATCTCATCACTCCTGCCTCCAGGGTTTGAGCGTGGCCCTAGAGGCAAAGTAGCGCAGCGCCAGGGCACTCAAGCGGCCTAGGATGATGGAGTCGTGCCACCACTCCGCTGGGGCTCCGAAGGTGGACAGGGCCCCACCAAGGCCGTCCCCAGCACGGCCTGGGCGGGGCCCTGAAGGCGGCACAGAATCCGCGGGCTTCGGCACCAGGAGCACCACGTCGGAGTCGCTGTCAGCACGGGAGCTTCGGGGCTTCCAGCTGGGATACCTGAAACAGACAAGAAGATCAAGAAGATCAAGAAGAACAATGTAACAAGCTTTGCATCAGTTGTTTCTATTCGTTTTTCCACCACGCTTTTCTTCATTGCTGCCAAGATGCTCATGGAAAGTGTCTTCCTTCGTCTCATCACTGGATTCACTGGGGCTCACTGGCGCGTGCCATCCAGGCCCCAGCGCTGGCCCTGGCCCTGCCGGCCCCGGCCCTGCCAACCCCAGCCCTGGCGGCCGCCGCCCTGCCGCTGGTGGTGCCAGGCCAGGTCGTGCCAACCCCGGACCCCCACTGGCACAGCCACCAACCCTGGGACCTGCCAGGGATGGGATGGACAGTCCCGGCGCCACCAGGCGGCTCATGGTCGTCGCCCAGAGGTGTGTTCTTTGCACATCCCATCAGGGCGAAAACTGCGCAGTTTCAAAGGTGTTCAGGATACTCAGATCAACGTGATCTACTCGTTCGGGGTGATATATGTTTAAGACCTTCACCCCAGGAAAAAAAGAACTAGTTGTTTTTCTTATAAACATAGTAAGCACAGCATGCTGGCAACATGGTTTTATGCTGACATGCTGGCCAGGCATAATACAAAGGCAAAGCCTGCTGTTCATATTCAATTTTCCCATGGGGAGGCTGAGGCGTGTTTGCCGTCTTGCCACTGCTTGTACCGGAGCCTTTTTGGTCCAAATATGCCGCAACATCTCGATTCCCAGCCTACTGCTAGTGATGGTAGACCTGCTTTGACAACACAAAGATCAGCCATCCTCTTCACTCAAGCTGAGTAGCTTTTCACCGCTGGCCGAATTCAGTTGACACACTTTGTGTCTAGCTATGGGTACCAAACATGATCAAACTCCCATAGGTTGGTGAACCGAGCCACCACGCCATCTACAATATTCTCTTCATCTCTGTGGATGTTGGCTAACGTTCCAAGGGGAAATGACCCACTCATCTGCACCATTCCCATCTTTCAAAACAGGGTGAAACATTCCAAGTCTCCATGGAGTCTATGTACAGGAAAAGCTTCGCAGGAACATGTCCCTGGTCCTTTTCAGCTTTAACAACCATCAAGCATCAAAAATTGGGAGAGAACTGGGAGTTCACTATGGAAAAATCAGGGAATATGAGCTTCCATATCTCAAGCAAAACACACCAATTTGATCCAACTTGACACATCTTGATCTTTGAACAGGTCTTCACGTTTCTTGCTTTTCACAGTGTCAACCAATTTTCACCGCATTTAAGCCGTGTTTTTTTTGAGGGGGTGAGTCTCCGGTAACTTTCCGCGGAAAAGCCACCACCAGGGACCTGTGCCTGCAACACCAGCTCACCCAGCCGGTTCCCCTTGCCCCTTACCTCGTGCTGCACAGATCATGTTAGTAGAAAAATGGAGAATGGATTCACCAATAAGAATAACAAATAACACTTGTTGTTGCAGGCGCATCTGTTTGGAAAACAACGGATACATTTGGTTTTGAAAACTGCTGCTCCACATCCTCATTTGTTTCGGGTAGAGTTGGTTGAAGGGAGAACATCAAGTATATATTGTAGTTGGGGTGCGGTTGGGGTTATTTTTGTGGCTAGAACCATGGTCCCCCTGTAACTATGGTTATATCTCCACTTCCAACTGGAACTGCACCCCCCAAGTAAGGGCTTCCTGCAACCGTGATTTGCTTTGTAGGTGTTCTCTCAGCTTTTTGAAACCTTCCAGAAACAACCTGCATTTGAATGATAAAACCATTGCTTTCAGGATGTTTCTAAGTGGGTTTGTCTGAAAATATGGTACAGTGCAGTACCCCATAGATCCATTGGTTCATCAATGTTCATCACCATTTCCCTACAAAAATACACACAAAAATTGATGGTATACCTCGTTTTCAGACAAATCCAAGCCTTACCGTTTACCTTGACTCACCCCAAGGCCCAAGGCCTGCATCGGCATCAAAGCTTCTCTTCACGGGACCAAAATGCCTTGCTGCAGCTGATGGCAGATCCCTTTGTGCTAAACCCTATGGGTTATACCAAATGTTTCTGAGTCTGGTAAAATTGGGGTCAGATGCTTTGTCATGGTCTCATTGTTATGCTTCGTTACTGTGGCGAAATCACCATTCAGCGCAAGCATGCGACCTGGTCGCATCCCCAATGAAATTTGGTGTTTTCTTCAATCTCAGGGGGTGCCTGGGCTTTACAGCCCATGTCACACCTCCAGCCCCAAGAGTTTGCTGAGTTTTGTGTAGATGGTCAGCTGGTCCATCCATGATGATTGATTTGTTGGATCATCAGCCTACAGTGTTCCACTTCCTCCAGGTTGGTTGTATCCAATGACTCATGTCGGGAATCATCATTTTCATCCATCTTCCCAGCATTTCAAACCCAGCAAAGGTCGGTCACCCACATCACAGACGAACCCGGTCCAGAACGCGTACCCTGAAGGACCCCAACGCTTTTTACTTAGGAGGATCATCATAACCAGTAAGGAACTGACTAACCGACTAACCAGTGACGATGGGATGATCCTCCACGGCTCAGCTGCCAACTCCTCCATGGCTCTGGACAACTTCTCCAACTCTTCGTCGCTCCAACGACCTCACCCATCGACAAACGTGACGCGTCAAACGCTCGTCTCCCACGAGACGAAAAACACGGAAAACGGCAACGGTGGAAGGTTGACACTGAAAATGGAAAAACTTGAAAAACACCAAAAATCATAGACCAAAAATGACCAAAGTATCAGTTGAAATGGAGTTTCAACTCAGTTTCTACATCCCATTTCCTCTGATTTTTGTTCACATTCCATGTGATGTTGTCATGATTGTTGGTGATGTATTCAAATCCCCCATGGCCTTCAGGAAGGTCGAGATCCAGCGCCTTAGTCACCTCCACTTCTAGTGCAGGAAGGAAGACCTCGAGGTCGCAGAACCATTGGGCTGGGCATATGTACCATGGTCAAAAGGTAAGATTTATTGGGATATACTGGGGATAGAATGCGTGTATGTACAGAGATATATTTCACCAACTTAATATGGATGTATATGGATTCTGCTCCTCCATCCCACAATGGGAATCCAAACATAATCGGCCTAGAAATACATATTAACAGTTAGTAACAGGGGGATAACTGGATAACCCACCAATATGGTTATGAAATCCATCTTTTGATTTCATAACCGTCTTTTGACCATGGCGCATAAAGGTTTGTTTTCAGTGGCGTGTGGCCTAACGTTATTGAGATGTTTTTTTACATATTGAGATCTTTGTTACAACAGAGTCAGTAGAGTGTAATCAGGGGTGAAAGGGAAACAGCGTGAGGATGCAGCGAAAAAACTGCGCCCAAAATTGGGAGCCCTAAAACGCAAGCCTCAAATTGTACGCTTTCTAGGTGCTTCTGCAAAGGTCCCCATGAGATCCGTTGTTTGACATATTGATAATGTTTATACAGGGATTCAGGATGAAGAAACAAGATGACAGCCATTCTGCTTGGGACTCCACAGGACTGTTGCCAGAACTTCCAGATTCAGCATCACCTCACGCCCCATGCAGCAGGGGTCAAAGCACAGCGTACATGGGGATTTAGCCATCAACAGTGGGGATATTTTATCGGTTTTACCTTGAAAAATGGTGACTTAACCATGTGGTTAGCAGCAACCGGAAATTTGTTCCGGGACATCAGAGAAATAAAACTGCGGCTAGTCAAGTTCAACCCAATCTTAAGGGAACTACCCAACCATAGTCACTACTCAGTTGCTATGCGGGATGGTCGCTGACCGATTTGCCCCGGTCCCTGCACGGTGTCCACTCAGCTTCCAGCTGTCGAGAAGACCATCATCCGCTTCCTGTTCGGTTCACCCCGGGGGACGACTTGCCAGAAAGAGAGAGAGAGAGAGATATATATATATATGTACATATATGTATAGACAGTCTTGGGATGTGTTCACAACCTTACAGAAACGTTTTTTCCCGAGTGCGTAGCAAGGGTTCCCGTTTCACTCTGGGGGTCCGGGGGTGGAGAGTGTGTTCGCTGGACGTTACGTTTACGACCGCAACCGTTCGCAACCGTTCGCAACCGCTCACAACCGTCCGCAACCGTTCGCGTGAGGGCCGTATGGCCGTGCCTATGGTTTCCTGCGTCGCGTTGCTTCGTTTTGCGTGGCAGGAGTGGCACTTCGTGAGATTCAAACGTGTTTCGTAACTTGTCGAAACTGGTTTTGCTTGGCATGTGCAATACTTTTGCGACGTTTTCAGAAGATGAGTTTTAGTTTTCGTGGCAGGCGCAGCACTTTGGACTTGACCGTCTTCATTATGCGTGGCAGGCACAGCACTTTGGAGGAGTCGGGTTTTTGCGAATGTCATTGTCAGGGCTGCGTCCAGTGGTGACAACGTGCAAATTCCATGGCAGGCGTGGCATTTTGTGAGATGTGCTGAAAATTGACGGAAGCCTCGCATGAACATCGATTTTCAGGTAGCCAATTTTGATGTTCCTAAGAAAACTCATAAGAAAACGTCGATTTTGAAGCTACAAAGTCTGAAAATTGGAGGATGTCTCGCACGAAATGCTCGTTTTGATGCTCCAACATGTCTCCTCTCGAGTCTCTCATCGCCGTGTCTATGGGGGAAGCTGCAAAACTTTTGCTTTTTTGAAGGTGTCAAAGCAAGCTGCAATGTCGTTTTGCGTGGCAGGCGTGGCACTTCCTGACATTCTCACGTGTCTGCAAACGCGTCGAGAATTGTTTTGTGTCCAAGGCGCTATACTTTTGCCCCGTTTTCAGAACATGACTTGCATTTTTCGTGGCACGAGCAACACTTTGGAGACCACCATCGCAATTTTGCGTGGCAGGCGCAGCACTTCAGATGTGTTGCGTTGCCCGCTCTACACTCCACACTCCACACTTTAAACTTTCAACAGCTCACTCCACACTTTACCCTCCACACTTTACACTTTACACTTGACACTCCACACTTTACACTCCACACTTTACACTTTACACTCCACATTTTACGCTCCATACTCTACACTCTACACTCCACACTCTACCCTCCACACTCCACACTTTACACTTATTTACATACACTCCACATTTTACACTCCACACTCTACACTCCACACTTTACACTTTACACTCCACACTCCACACTCTACACTCTACCCTGTACACTCCCCACTCTACACTCTACACTCTACACTCCACACCTAGACTCCACACTCTACACACGACACTTCCCTCTTTACACTTTACACCCTACACTCTACACCACACTGTACACTTTACACCCCACACTTTACACTCCACACTCTACACTCAACACTTTACACTTTACACTCCACACTCTACACTTCACACTCAACACTTTACACTTTATACTTGACACTCCACACTTTACACTCCACACTTTACACTTTACACTCCACATTTTACACTCCACACTCTACACTCCACACTCTACACTCTACACTCCACACCTAGACTCCACACTCTACACACGACACTCCCCTCTTTACACTTTACACTTTACACTTTACTTTACACTGTACACCCCACACTTTACACTCCGCACTCTACACTCAACACTTTGCACTTTACACTCCACACTTTACACTTTAAACAGCACACTCCACACTTTACACTCCGCACTCCACACTTTACACTTCACACTTCACACTCCGCACTCCCACTCGACACTCCACACTCCACACTTTACACTCCACACTCCGCACTCTACACTTTACACCATACTTTACACTTTACTCTACACTTTACACTTTACACCTCGCACTCAACACTTTACACTCCAAACTCCACCTTCCACACTCTACACCACACTTTGCACTCTACACTTTACACTCCACACTCTACACTCTACACTTTACACCCCACACTTTACACTCCACACTTTACACTCCACACTCCACACTTTACACTTTACACACACACACACTTTACACTCCACACTCTACACTCCACACTTTACACTTTACACTTCACACTCTACACTTTACACTTTACACTCCACACTCTACGTTACACTTTACAGTTGAAACAGCGCACTTCACACTTTACACTCCACACTTTACACTTTACACTTGACACTCCACACTTTACACTCCACACTCCACACTCTACACTCCACACTCCACACTTTGCACTCTAGGCTCTTCCGCATTGCACAGTCTACAGTGCACTGCCACGGTAAGAGGGGGAAAATGTACAAGACTCTTCAAATAACTTGCTTCACAAAAGTGTTCTACTTGACTGCATTCGGGGTCGTGGGTTTAGCCTTACCAAGAACCCTTTCCCAGCACCCTTCAGCCCCACCTCGGCCATCGTCAGGCTCGGAAGCACCAAGCGCCCCAGGTCGCCTTCGTCGCCTGCGTCACCTACGTCGCCCTCGGGCGCCGTGACGGCCTGCAGGTCAGGTGGCACGGAAGCGCTGGCTCCTGGCAAGCGCAGCATGGATTGGAGGGGAAGCGGGTAATGAGTATTGAAAAATCTTGAAAAAGACCTGACTTAATGATGCTGAATGGCAGATGAAGAAACCTTTCAAGAAGGAATCTTGTTGACTGCGCTTCAAGTTGAAAGGGGCGTTCCAACGATTTCGCCTCCAGCGTCAGGCTCTGTATGCTCTTGAACCTGCCAGAATGGCGTCAGACCTACTTGACAAACACATAGAAACTGCACAAGTCCATGGATTCAAGTTCCCTTAATCAAACGTGGAAATGGAAAATCCTCCGCTTATAGTTGAGTTGTCCCTTCAATCCTACATTTTAGCGGACCTTCAAGCTAGCTACGTTTGATTACCACAGGGTAAGCTCCGAAATCCAGCCTGCGGTAGACCTTGCTCCGCCACCAGTAAGGCTTCCCTACTCAGTTCCTGAAGCGAGGCCAAGTCTCTGCAGCCCCTGCGGATGAGAGTGTCTTACTTGGAGGTTGCAATCATAATTGGACATATATATATATGTATATAAATACTATTATATACTATTGTTTTGACAAAAATATGTTGTAAACATAATATGTATATTATATATATAGACACCGTAGTTGTGGGCGTTACATCTCAACTTATTGGACTTACAATCCCATGGATACATCTATCAAGTTGCACCCTAACTGAATCCTTTTCCTCCAGCTTCGTTGCCCATGTGGACATTTCCAGCATGAGGTCGTCTGTTGGTTCTTCCTCCTTGCGTCGAGTACGGCCAAGCTGGATCAGGAATACCAACCATGTGGTGGCTTCCATAAATGGGTGTACCCAAAAACGGATCGTTTACAATGGAAAGTCCCAAACAAAAATGGATGATTTAAGGGTACCCCCATTTTTGGGAACCTCTATGTGAAAATGGATCATCTAAGGGGCAAGACTTCGTTTCATCCACGGCCTGGGGCCTCGGACATCCCACTGCCTACTGAAAACCCAGAGGCCCTTGGTCCCCAGTGACAGTCCTTCTGCGCCGTGGGGCGGGAGGCTTGTTCCTCCAGTGCTCTTACACCTCGATTCATCGGCCCGTGAAATATTGGCCATCGCAGAGTTGATCATTAGTTACGCCATAAAAACTGAAGACCGTCCAAAGTTTGACCGTAGTTCAACCCTATTCTGTTGATCAAACCATCAATCTTAGAGGCAGTCAAGAGTTTTTAGCCTTGGCCAAAAAAAAACTTCCAATACGGTCAAGGGTGCCATGACTCATTTGAACAGTCTACACCTATTTAGGGATCATATTCACCAACGATTTGAAAATGATGTTTCAAAACCATTGAAATCCTCCAAAACTTAGCCGGGAATAGAAACTACAGCACCCTGAATGTTTAAGTTTCGGAAGTTTCTGCCTCGAACCCTTCAAGAACTTTTTGGTGCAAAACGGAGGGAACGGGGGGATCTATAACAACTAGTACGTTTAGCACCGGTATGAAAGTCATCCCATTCTTAACATGGTGAACCTTAAATACCTGCCAAAAAACTGGTGATTTGATTGTACTAATCTTCGCATTGAATCGCAAAAGATTAAAGTACTAAAGTATCTACCCAAGGCCCACTCATATAACTATAGTTTCCCCACATCTCCCAACTTTTGGGAGTTTATAGCCATGGTTATTCTGATACCCATTGAAAATCATAAATCATGTGTAACCATTTTCAATGCCCAGAGCAGTAAAAATCCTGAGAGACCAGACTGTCCTCAAGCTCTGCCATGGTGCACCGGACCTCCCATGGGACGAACCAGCCGCTTTTGCCAGGGAAAGACTTGTCCTTTTTCCGTAAAACAATCCAATGTCAGGGGGATTCCTAGGTAATTTCAAGCAAATCTTGCAGAACATGTTGATCATGTTGTGTTTTGATTTGATTGCTTTAGCATCGACATATTAATCACGATTTTCGTTGGATAAAATCCTGTGTTCGTTGGAGTCAATGCAACAGAAACAACAGTCACGTCCAAAGAATGATCACCAAGATCACCAACCTTCATGACGCAGCTAGGGATTTCCAAACAGCCCGTGGCCTCCATATTGGTGGAGTCCCATTCCTCGTTGCTTTCTGATAGCCTTCACCGAAGGCAAGGAAGATGTCCATTATTGGAGATGTTCTCGCAGGCTGGGTGTGATGTTTTTCCAAATATATGGCTAAAAATTGGAGTATTGAACTATATACCTTCCCATTGCAAGTTGGCGAGCACCTATTTTTGATGGTTGAATTTCCATCTGTTTGTTCATAAAGCCATATTTAAACCCCCATGTTTGATGGTTAGTTGCCCACATCTTCATGATTGTATAAATCACTCAAGTCCCAAGAGTTTCCCTTAAAAATATTGAAATGTTGTAAAGAATCATCAGTTTAGCCACTAAAACCCGCCAAGAACTGAGCCTCAAGAGGATCTGTTTGGCTTCCAGCAAGGCTCCCGATGCGGAGTTTGATGCTCCCGTACTTTCCGGTGACATATTGGATGAAGTCGTGATCCGGAGGGGTTGAAGCCTGGCAGTGCCAGCAATTTTAGATGTTGAGATCTTGGAAAATGGGGACCTGTATGTATATATATATATATAGATAGATAGATAGATATATACATATATAAGTGTAGGTATAAATAGATATATACATATATATATATATAGACATATAAATAGATATATAAAAAGATATACAAAAAGATATACAAAAAGATATATAAATAGATATATCTAAATATTATATATTATATATATATCTGTGTATATATATATGGGAAATTTACATTTTTTTGAAGGATATAATGGGGATAAAATGGGGATATAGTGCATCAACTCAATACGGGGATGTAATGAGAATATGTGGGGACCAATATATTGGGAAATCAGAATTGTGTGGGGAATATCCGCCGACCCCTGCCGACAGCAGGGGGAGTGCGTCAGAGAAGAGGGGACAAGATGGACAGGAGGCAAACAAAAATGTGAAAGTCAACGGCTTGCAACGTTTGGCACTCTGGGCTGCTGGCTGCCGGCCCGATCCGTCCTTTGGTGTTTGGGCCCTGCGAGAGGGTCCTTTGACCGGAGCTGTGCAGGACGAAAGCCAGCTGCAAGAGGACACGAGCAAGTTGGCAGTTGGCAGTGCAGAAGGGCAGGCAAAGTCAAGGTTTGGAGCTAGTTTCTAGTCGGTTCAGAAAGTGACGTTTGGCACTCTGGGCTGCCGGCCGCGGGCCCGATCTGTCCTTCGCTGCCATGGTGTTTTGGCGCTGCGAGAGGGTCGTTTGACCGGAGCTGTGCA